TCTGGGTCTTAAAGGGGGCGTGGGAACACATAAGAACTCTTGAATGGAAATGGAAAAGAGATGTAACTCCAGTTCGTTCGGAAATGGGAAGATCTTTGGCGTTTTCTGTTGTTTAGGAGTACAGGTTTTTTCAGTAACTGGTGTGAGGTACTCTGTTCATTTTTGAATGGCAAACAGTATTTCAACAATGTGATTGCTCCGTATGATCGTGGTTGATGATGTTCTAATTTTCATTGAGTTATTCCATTTACAATTTTTTTTTCTTTCATTCCAGGCAAAGGCTTCAAACTATGCCGCTGTCTTGAAGCAAATTTTCCCGAACATTCAGCAAATTGATTCAAATATCTTCTGTTAGAAGAATATGTAGGTTGAAGGTCCTCTTATCCCTAAGTCATAGTCAGGTGTTGAAACACAGAAAATGAGGACATCCATGCAAGTAATGTTTCTTAGACCTAATCTGACAACCGTGGGAACGGTGTGTTTTATTCTGACAAATGGTGATAGATCTAGCTTGCAGGAGTACACTGGTTCGGGAGTCTGCTAAAAGGGCTGGTCACCAGCCACTGGTCTGATAGGATGCTGTTTCATTTTTTTTTTTTTTTTTTTTTTTTTTTTTTTTTTTTTTTCTGAGAGGAGTTCTATAGGATTTTGTTACTACACTGAGTTGCATTTGTCAAACATGAGTGCGTGAATGATTGGATAATTGCGGTTCTTATATACATTCAATAGTCCTTTCTTTTAATCTTTGCCCAGAAAAGAAAGTAGTATTTGAAGTTAGTCTGGACTCTGGTAGCGGTTAATTGTGCTATAGTCTTCAACTTATGTAATGTATTTAGCATTTAAAATGTTTGGGAGGATATATATATATATATATATATATTTCTTTTTTAATTTGGAAACACAATCTGATTCCATAATGGATATTTTGTTGACTGAAAGTGGTTGTTGCATGAGGTAATAATATAGAACAGATTAATTATTCTTCTTAAATTTATTTAAAATTTTTAATACTCAGTATTGTGATGTAAATTTTATGTATAATTATAAATGATTTTGTATATGGACTGCAACCCTCTTGGTGCTACGGGAATTTATTAGCTTTTTTTTTTAAAAAAAAATAGATTAATTTTTAGTAAATTTTTAAAATATAATTGCATTTTATTTAAAGATCATTTGAAATGGAATGTTTGTAATTCTGTATTTGAAACTTTCTAAAAGCTTTTAAATAAATTTTGTATATTTAATTTATTTTTTAAAATGTATATAAAAAAAGTACAAGAATTTACAGATTAAAAAAGAAAAAGAAAGATAAGATAAATGCTATACCTAAGAAAACTATAAACCACTAGCGAAAATCTTCTTTTTTAATCATATTTAATGAAGTTTCTAACTTAATGTGCTAATAGTTAGTATTTATTCAAAATAATGTAACACTTTTTAATTGAGTTTATAATTTAATTTTATGTCATAGAATATTTTACTTTGTAATCATTTGTAAATTTATAATTATAAAAATAGTATAGGATCTATCTATGTAACGCTCAAACAATTGGGCATTTTTGTTATTATATTATTAATTTTATTTATTAAGTTTAATTTAAAAAAAAAGAGCGTCACGTCAGCAGCCACGTCAGCGGCCTTGGCCAACCAGGACCTGCCACGTGGCAAGACCACGTCGACTTGGGGACGAGCCACGTGGGCGATCCGCGTGCGCGCGATCGGACGGCCCAGATGCGTCCCCGCGCGCACGGACGGCCTAGATCAAGCATGCGCACGGACGGCCCAGATTCAATCAAAAACG